CGGGTTGTTCGCTCTTGGGACTAAGAGGGACCGGACATCAATCCATGCTCTCCAAATCTTTCTGAACAAGTCTCTCATATTTCAGACTTGTAAGTAACAGCCAGGCAAGGCGTGTTAGGTTTATCTTTGCTTTCTCAACTTGTAAATGTTCCTTTTGCTAGAGTGTTTACCTCTGTTTGCTGTAACTTTAAACCTAAGGCTAGAGGGGGTTCCTCTAGGCTCTTTGAATCTGATTACCCTGTAAAGTTATTTTCCATCCTGATTTTACAGAGATGATTTTTACCTTTCTTTCTTTAATTAAAAGCCTTCTTTTTAAAGAACCTGATTGATTTTTCCTTGTTTTAAGAGCCAAGGGGGTTGGATCTGGACTCACCAGGAATTGGTGGGGGAAAGGAGGGGGAATGGTTAATTTCTCCTTAAGATCGAAGGATTTGGATCGATGTTCACCAGATAATTGGTGGATAAGTCTCTCAAGGCTACCCAGGGAAGGGTTATAGTACTTGGGAGGGAGATATTCTGGGGGGGAGGTAGACAGAGTTTCCCAAATGACTCATAAATAATTTGGGTGGTGGCAGTAAAACCAGATCTAAGCTGGTAGTTAAGCTTAGAGGTTCTCATGCAGGTCCCCACATCTGTACCCTAGAGTTCAGAGTGGGGAAGAAACCTTGCCACCTGTCAAGCATGTTTCTCATTTAGGAACACAGGAATTACCATGCTGCATCAGAACAGGGGTCCAGCTAGTCCAGTATTCTGTCTGAAAGTGACCAGCTTCAGCTTGTTCAGTGGAAGAAACCCTGTTGTAGGTAGGTGTGAGACAGATAACCTGCCCCCAGGAAAACTTCCTACTAAACCAAGTTAGAGGTTAGCTTATGCCCCAAAGGTTGTAGGTTTATAGCTTTTCCAAAGCTATTGTTAAATGTTTATACTGAATATTCTTATTATTCATATACATGTGAAACTCCTTTTTGAAGCCTGCTAAGCTCTTGGCTTCAATACTATGTGGCAATGAGTTACACAGTCTGTGAAATAATGATTCCTTTTATTAATTTTGAATTCCCGCCCCCCTTCAATTTCATTGAAAGTCCCCTTGTTCTTGCACTATGAGAAAGGGTGAACAGGAGATTCCCCTTCTACCTTCTCTACACCATTCCTTATTTTGATTACTGTTATGGCTCTTCTTATTCATCTCCAAAGGTCCCAGTCTTTTTCGGTCTCTCCATGTTTTTCTATCACTTCTGTTTTATCGTTTCTGAGATGGAGTGACCAGACCTGGACATTATTCCAGATGAGTGCAAACCACTGATTTCTAGAATGGCACTATAATTCCCAGTATTATTCTCCATCCCATTCCTTGTACATCCTAATATTTTATTTGCATTTTTTACTGTTGCAGTACATCGAGAAGAGATCTTCAATGAGCTGTTCACAATGATGCCTAGGTCTTTTTCCATAGGCACGTCACCTTGCATTTGTTGACATTGAATTTCATCTTTCTTTGTGTTGCCCATTCACCCATTTTACTCAAGTCCCTGACATTTCTCACAATCTTAACGCAAAATGGTCTAGATTTGTCCTCTTCAGATTTTACCATCTCACTGCTTGCTTCCTTCATCACAACATTAATACACTGAACTACATTGGGTCCCAGTATATAATCTAGTTGCACTCCACTGTTAACTTTCTGACATGATGAAAACTGATCATATATTCCTGCTCTTTGTTTTCTGGTTTAACAAGTTTCTAATACATGACAGTACTTTATCTCTCACACCTTGACTACTTAGTTTCTTTAGTAACCTCTTCAGAACTTTGTAGACAGCCTTTTAAAATCTAACTGAATTGCTGTCCTTTATTCACTATTTTACTGACATGTTCTTCCTTTGCAGGAGCCACGGAAGTTAGATTTAGTTGAACATTTCAACTTCAACCTGTTCACCAGGTTCAGATTAAGGTTTACTTGATCTTTAATTCCCTGGATCTCCTCAGTGTCTTTTAAAAATACAGCAACATTTACTGTCTTCCATTCCTCACATTCAAGAGAACTCATAGTGCAAATTAAGGTCCCGATCCTGCAAAGATTTAGGCACATGCTTAATTTTAAGCACATGAGCTAGTCTCATTGATCTCACTGGGACAATTCATGTGTTAAAAGGTAAGACTGTAAACTATAAATCTTTGCAGGATCAGGGCTTTAAGATGTGACTGGATATTTTAGTGACCTGCTTTATACAAATCAGAAAGGTCCTTATTTTGTCAGCATCAGTGTACATTCCCAAATGATTGCTAAGAAAACACTCAACAAGACAGTTTAATATAAAATGTTTTTATTGTTTTTGAAAACATTTAAAAAACAATTTTGAGCACTTTCAATAAAAAAAAATAACTGAAATGCTACTGCAATATTCAACTACTGTAGTTTCAGCAGTACAACAGACAACAAAACACTGGGGGCGGGGAATCGGATTTCCTGCACTAAATGAAAATGTAGAACAGGGATATTTCTTTCCTTATGGTGCAGTAAAGAAAGCACAGTATAGTACAAGACTATTATATGAACCTCAGATGCACTGCACAAGAAATGCTTTCCTTCTTTTCAGTTCAGAAGTCAGTGCTTATTGCAATTATTTGCAAATTCTTTACTTCATGAATTCTTATCATGATAAAATGGTACAAAAATGTTTTTCAACACCAGAACAATAAAAAATAATCCAAGAAAGGAACATATTAAACAATAACTAAGCTAAATTAGTAAACATAAAAAAGTAAATTACTTGTGAATAACTATGCTTGCCTGGTTAACACGGAACCAGTTTCAATACAGCAAAAGAATAAAAAAAATAAAGTGGTTACAGGAATATACCTAGTACTGTACAAGATAAGTCAATAACACTCATGCACGTCTTGTGATCATGTATTAACATGGTGAAGCAAACTAAACTTAATTTCTTCCTGCTGTAATATTCTCATGTAAGAGAATAAGAAATAGAAATATCTCATTGAGATCAATGCACATTGCTACATAAGACAACTTCATCTGTCATTTTTATGACATTTTGCCTTTTAATAATGAAACACATTAAAAAGTTTTTATCTGTGGGCCGTATTGGTTGCATTTATCCTAAGGAACGTGCCTGCCACAGGTTCAACAGAAATTTAGTGCAATATATGAACCCCAGAAAGTTTGCTGGACTAACCAACCAAATTTAAAGTGTTTGCTGCAATACTGTACATGGGGTACAAATTCACTAGTCTTTATACTTTAGCAAAATATGCTATCAAAATAATTTCATTATTTTCTCATGTTAGTAGGAAGCCAGTAATGTAAACAAGGGGTCAGAACTGACTCAAATTATTATTTTTGGAGTATCTGACACAGACAGGCTTCCATTAGTTAGAATCACAGAGTTTTCCTTTGGGTATTGCATACTTTGGTGTGCAGTAGTGCTCTGTCTCAATGTACAGTAAAGAAGTAACTAGCACTAAGAACAGGGATCTAACAGATTATTAATTTTAACAGCAAACACACAAACACCAATAAACTAATACATACCAATGTACAAAGCTGTGAGCTAGCCTAGCACCATTTATTGAAATGAAAATGTTTTACCCCTATGCCTGGTAATTTAATGAATCCTTATTGAATTAAACACACATTTGCCTTAAATCCACTGATTAAATAGTATTCCTATTTGCCTGCTAATTAAGTGAAAGGAAAACTTTCTGCTAGGCCCCCATATAGCGTTTGATTTAAAAATGGTTTTAAACACATATTTTAAAAACCTTGGGTGATGGCTGCATAATTTAGAAAAAGTCATTTCTTAAAACACAAGAATTTGGAGGGGACTAGTTGTATTGAGCTATTGTGCAGTGCTAGCAGCACAGAGGCAAGGGAAGAATGCCATGCACATACATAGAACACCATAATACCAGTGCAGATGCTCCCCCATGTATATGCCGTCCCTTGTCATCCCCCCATGTTAGGCCTGCTGGAAGTGCAGGGTTAACATATGCACAGTGGTGCTGGCACTTGATACAGGATCAAATCTGCAAGGCGCTGAGCATCTCAAAAGACATCAGTTCAAGATCCACCTTGGGCAACTTCTTTCAAAAAGGGAAATGGCTCTAATGTGTATTTATTGGTAGAAATCAACAGAACTTTGAAATAATCAAACCCAAAGCTTACCATATAATAATACCTCCCCCACAAGCTGGAAAAAATGTGCAAGTCTCTCTTAAGAAAACAAAAGGAGTCTGTCTGAGGAGGGGCATGAACTCTCTCTACGGTCTGCTGCCCGTGGAATCAGGTGCTGCAGCATAGCACCACTGTTTGTCCTTCATCAGAAGAGCTCACGTGCTGGGGGCTGCCTTAGTTCAGTGCTTTTATCCCAGGGACCAGGAGAAGCAATGATGTACTAGCATCTGGAGTGCTAGTGCAGCAGCACCATGAAAATGAATGCTGTTAAAATCAAATACTGAAGATTTCAGATCATTAGCAGAAATGCCACAAATTACCAAAATACATTTCAAGAACCAAGAAATTACCAAAATACATTTCAAGAGCTGAAAATCTGGTCCTCTCTTCCTCGTTTGCCAAATCTAGATGGCAGCATTCTGCCTCTCTCCAACACGAGCTGACAACCTCACAAACCTCTAATGTGACACTGCTTTAAGTTCTACTGATGTCATCAGTCCATAGGAGAAATAATAAACCCCTTACAAAGCTTCAGGAACAATACTACAAAGTGATTTGTCTGCCTGGCATCTCAGTGACACTCCACATGGGAGTCAGTTTGCCTGTGCAGATCCCCTTTGTAGCATTAGGGCCTCGGCTGGCTAAGTACCTTTCTCTGTTCATCATTAGAGATTTTTACAATACTTGAATTCTTCTTTTACTTTTAATGACAAGGGTTAAAGTTTTCTAAAGCACCTAAATGACTTAGGAGTCTAAATCTTATTGACTGTCAATGAGATTTAGGATCCTTAGTACCCAAGACAGTTTTGAAAATGGGACATAAGCACTTTTGAAAATTTTACCCGAGGACTTCATGTGTCTTGCTGCATGTTTGTAAAGTGCCTGGTAACATTATGGCTCTATAGAAGTTATTTTTAATAGTTATCAGCCAAGATCAGAACATTTTTATCATCTTCTTTTTTTTCCAGGAGGCACAGAAAGGGGCAGCCTACTGAAAAATAAAGAGGAAAAACACCTTCCTCTACCCCCCATTAGGTTAGAACAGATGGGTTTAATAACAAATCTTAAACACAATAATACTTTAATAAGCTCATGCAGCCATTCTACTGAAAAAAGAAAACAAATGTCATGTCACCTTCTCTAATTCTGATAAATAATAAAACAGTAACTATCATTTTCTAATATACATATGTCTACTTTTATTAAGCCTCAGTGCTCAGAATTTTTTATCATGCATTTTTACCTCATATTAAAACCCAACATTTAAAGTGAAAACTAAAATAACATTAAGGTGAGGTCATGGATATCTATGGCTAAAAACACTAAATATATATATTTAAAATAAAATTTTAGTGCATTTTTCTCTTTCCTTGATCATTCCCATTATTTTCTCCTATCTTAGCCCTTCATCATAGATGTAAATGGTGCCACAGACATTTCTCATGGTTCACCACAGTACTGCAGCTCTGGGTAATGCTCAATGACAACACCACTTGTATGCCCTTCATCAAGCTGTAGCCCCTCCCTCTCATCAACCGCCTACTTGTCTACAAGTCCCACACATTTCTGACTTGAATAACACAGGCCAATATCAAACATCTCCTCAGAAGTAGCAGGCAATACAAAGTACTGAATCTCTAGTAACAAGTAAGTTGGATTTAAAACCCTCCAAACACCTCTACTGAAGTTGTGAATGCTGGTTTTCAATCACTTTGTATATATATTTTTGCTACAATAAGAAATGCTATTAAGTGGGAACCCTATAAAATTTAAATTCTAATACTGGCTCTTCAATAGCCTTCAGAAATTTATTTAAAATTGAAAAGACTGCCTATTCCCAGTTGAAGAATAAGCAACTTGTACAGCAAACTCTTTTTTTAAAAATGCCACAATTCTTAGCAAGTGTTTCTGCTGCAGGAGGCACTTCCATTAAGACAAATACAATACGTCTGTCTTTCAGATACAGTGTGCTACATACATATTATTAAACAAATTTAACCCAACATTTCAACAGCAGGATGATCCTTACTCTCCATCCACTCAAAACCTGATGTAGTCATTGAGTTAATGGATTCATTGCAGATTTGTTGAAACAAGGGGTCATTCTTTAATTCCTCCAGTGTAGCATCGTCGTCTTGTCCCTGCTGACGACCTGGATCAAACAGTAGATTTGTATCTAAAGTATTCAGATCATTAATGCTGCCTGAGAGGTCGGAAGACAACCTGATGTCGCTGGAAAAGACAGATGCAACGTTATTGAGATCTGACACCACCTGATTCACCAGCTGCTGGTTGGTTTGCAGATTGTCCTCCCCTAAAAAGTCTTTTACAGTGCTGCTGAAATCTAATTGCTGTTCTCCAATTTCTGATTGTGCTTGGTTATCTCCAGAAGAAAAACTGATCTGATCGGTGCTGCTGTTTTTTGTGAGGTAACTTGGTGTTTGGAATTCATAAACTGAAGTGCTGGAATTGATCATATTTTGCGGGTTGGCACTAGGAAAAGTGGTGGATGTTTCTAAAATCTGAGTGAGATTCATCCTCGCTGTGTAATTTGAAGGCATGTTGTTCATTCCCAAACCTCTCACTGCATCATCGCCATCAGAATCAAGTTTGCTTAACAACACATTTGTTATTTTTTTAGTGTTTGTTTGTTTCTGAAGAGAGGGGAAGGCTGTCTGCATCATGACAGTCAAAGGGACTGACTGACTCCTTTGAGCTATATTATTGGCACTAGTGTCAGCATGAATATTTGTGAACACATTGTGAACTTCAGGTGTCACTGGACTTCCGAAAGGGGTCAAGTTAGAGCGTGGTATATTAGAAACTGGATAGACAGTGCTTCCACTAAGATTACGTTGGCGATGGACAGCAGGGCTTACACTCCGGCATCTGAAACTGTTATTGAGAGAGGAACTTGTTCCTTTGTTGTCAAGAGGAGCAGGAACAGCAAAGCCTTCCTGCTTGTTGGTGCTATTTACAGAGGATCCCTGATGTGATACAGGTGACACAGGAGTCACACGACCAAAGTGAGTATCATGGTGCCGGGACTGAGACTGATATGACTGGCCAGGAACTGCAAAAGCATGAGGTTTCCTGAAACGGTCTTCCACTAGCTCCTGATAGCTTGGAAGAATGCCATGATTTGAAACTGATGAATTAGTGACTCCACTGTACCCGTTATTCATCCACTCAAGTTTGGTTTTATCAGGGTGAGTAGCCATAGGTCGCTGCATTGGTTTCACAGGGCTACTCGAGACAATGCTGGCATCATGGTATGCCATACTGGAGCTTATTGGAGTAAATGCAAAAGGATTTCTGCATTCCACAGGACTAGGAGGGACACTGCTGCTGCAGTTTGAATGTGGTGTGCCAATGGGTGTATGCCGGCTACTTCCCAGAGCACTGTCTACAGGAGTAGTCTGAGCCAGTCGTGAGCACGGGCTCTCTCGTGACACACTCTGAGATCCAGCAATCATTTCTGACGTGGGTGTTGGGGTCGGAGTCGGGGTAGGTGTGGGAGTCGGGGTAGGTGTGGGAGTGTGAATTGGAGTGCCATTGTTATGGATTGAATGGTAGAAGTGCGTATTGCTTGGATGAGATGACATTGGAGCTCCTTGAGCTGCTGTCTGATTCTGCAGTGCCATTCCCAGACAACTACCATAAGGATGAGAACTGTTCATTGACATTTGCTCCTCCATGAGCACCAGTTCCTCCACAATGCTGTCTTGTGTAAGGTCATCATCAAATGAAAAGAAGTTTTCGTTTGACTGAGGGACTGTATGTTCGAATTCTTTTAGCTCAGACTGCAGAGGTAACGGTAACTGATTTGAGGACTGTGCTTGTATTTGACCCAAAGCTGATTCTTGGATCTGGCTCTGTAACTGCTGGCTGTATGTATCCTGTTGTATTCCTTCACAGTGCACTGGCTCCCATACAGATTCCTGTAAATCATTAGAGTCAGACTGTCCTGCAATAGTCATAACACTGATATCTTGCTGCTGTTCAGAGTTCACAGATGTAAAGTCAGAGGTTTTAGTGATATGCTGCCATGGATTTGGATTAAAGCTGCCATCAGATTTTGAATCATTTTCTAAGATAAACAAATTTCCTTCCAATTTTACTTTTATATCTGGAGATGAGGCTGTGAGCTGCTGTCCCAAAGTGGAATCACTGGTATTTATAACATTGGAATTCAATGGACAGTTTGTCACTAAGTGTGTTGAAGCTGTAGAATTTACTTTTATAGTGACCTTGCTAGGAACTTGAGCAAGTGCTATAGTACTGTCATTTCTAGCTAATGATACAACCTTCTGAAGCTTCTTAACACTGCTTCCTTTTTGACCTTCCATGCTACCTGCTGAAAGCTGCCCCACAAGTGGTTTCTTTACAGGTGGTACCTGGGACTCCTGAAGCGTAGAAGGTAGTCGCTTCCTTGGACTTTTAGTGCATGTTTTATCTTTAACAGTAGAATCACCACTAGGAGGTGAACTGATGCTGGGGTTGGAGAAGTTTTGAGTGGCAACTGAGAGAGTAAGAGTGCTTTGATTATTGCCTGCTGAAGAAACTGGTATGATTTCTTTAGGTCGGGCTTTATATTTGGTCCTTGCTCCTTCAGCTCTCTGATCACAGCCCTTAACTGTTTTCACTTCACTGATGCTCTCAGTTGAAGCTTTCAAGGTTGTACCCTCAAAATGATTCCTCTGAGCAGCAGGCAGGCCCGGTGCTCCTTTTATAGCTTTAGACACATCAGAATTCTCTTGGCACTGTATTGGGTTCTCATCCAGTAATGCTTCTGGTTCCATTTTGATCTCAACTGCAGGTGTAGCTACAACACTGCTTGTCTTGGATCCTGGAGACTGAAGTGAAACAACAGACCCATTTTTAATCTGAGGAACAGTTCTCGATTCTTCCATTGCTCCTGTACTGCTGTTCAGTGAAGTAGTGTGTTTGACGGGTACACTACTGCTGCTAGGGGCAAGAGATATTGCTGTCATTTTTACCACGTTTAAGGAATTTACATGTGGAGCTGGCACAACTGTCTTGATTGGGCTACTGGTGAAAAGCACCGTAGTAGGCGAGCGGATGGTGAGAGCACTGGTGTTTGCTGGCTTAGGTAAGATCTGTGGGTAACGATGCCGGGCGGAACGGTCACCAACTGGACTGGCTGGAACATTCTGAGGAGTCTTTGGTGACTGCTTGACTGACTGCATGTGCTGAGTGACCACCTGAACATTGAGCGGAAGAACCTTGCCATCAGAGGAGCCCATGGGACTTGGAGATGTCACCAGCTGTCTGGTCCTCGGTACCTGTATGTGGAGAAAAAGGACACACAATTTAAACAAAAGTATGCATGCCCTACATAATCTAATGGATAAAGTTAGATTAATGGGGAGTCAGAGTGCCACATCCTAAGGATTAAAAGGATGCTGCACTCTTATTTATATATAAAACTGCAAACAGGCACCCATCCTACACTCTAGTTGCTCTTCCAGAATACTAACACTCACATCACCACCATCATGGACAATCCCAAAGAGATATAGTCTCCTTGCAGACTGTCACAGTAAATACTCAAAACATACAGTAAAGCTGCTCTTCCACCTCAATGGCCCACTGCCCCACAACTTACACATAAGATCACGAGAGCAGGTATAATGACAAAGCAACAAGGCCTCACTATCCCTAGCCCACCTCTTCCCCAAATTCCTGGGGAAAGGATGAAAGACAATACAGTTGAGTACTAAGGCCAGCAAAAAATCAGAACAGAACAAATAATCCTGGTTGCCTAACCCAAATTGCCTAACCTAACTGGTCCATGACAAGGGCTCCTAGGCACTATGGAAATACAAATAATAATCCACATAACTAAAATCTGCACTAGAGACTTGGGGCTTGATTCTTGTAAAATTGAGGCCCTATTTTAAGTGCACTTTTGCAGAACGAAGGGGCATTCATGGACATGTCCAGGTCCCTTCCAGCCCTACATTTCTATGATTCAGATGCAGGGCTTGGAGTGTTGATTGAAGATAGATAGAGAGAGGAAGAGATCTTCAAACATTAAATTTTTAAACTTCCACCAGTGAATAAAACACAAATCAAACATTATTCAGGCAGAAACTTAGCTATCAAAATATACAATAAAGACAAAAGTCAGCTTTTGTTCAGCCAAAACAAACAAGTCTGTACAGCATAGATATTCTAATAAAGGTTAAACTGATGCCAGTACAAAGCCCTCTGGACTAATGAAGCCACATTTACATACCATATGAAGGGCTTAAGCAATGCATAGGGCCTTGTACAGTCTTCAGAACTCAGGTAAATTTTGCCCTAAAGGTATAATGATTCCCATTTAAAACCCAAATTATTCCTGGTTTAAGTGCCACTGTCAATGACTCACGATGAACGTGGCCGATGCTGTATAGGTGTCATTCTACTACATCCACATCCATCAGACAAAATTATTACATTTTTGGCTTTGTCACTTATTTGGAATAAGAGAAAAAGTCCCTGGAACAGGAAAAGAAGGGTCACTGCATCTCTCTCTCAACGTTCATATAGCAACAGGAAGCCATTAGTCTGTGATAACTTTCTATTTGCTTAAATAAATATAAAATAGAGAAAAGCAGTTTTATAAGGTTGTCTGGGTTGAAAACTGTTGGAGCACATTACCGGTATGGGGCTGGGTACAGCTGCCACTACGATACCGATAGGTTGAGGAGACAAGATTGCAGGACTTCCATTAGAAATACTTGTTACTCCATTGGCTGTAGCTCCCTCTGTTTTCTTTGCTGGAGACTCTCCCGGCAAAGGAGACTGCAGTTTCTGTTCCTGTTGCTTCTTCTGGATCTTACGCTGTAGCTGCTGCTTGGCATCAACTGGTGATGGGAGAGTTTTCACTTGAGGCTGAAAAGAATTACTTTCAGCCGTGGGTATAAAAGCAGAGGGTTGAGGGATCCCTTTTATTCCTGAAAGCGAAAAGAACAAAAGTGACTTATGCCATGTATGTTGTGTGATATTTCTAAACCTATATACATGGCAACATGTGCGCATGCGTGCGCACATACACACACAATGAAAACATTCATGAGGGGTTTTGTACTTGGAATAGTTATTTACTGATTAAATTTATTTCTAATACTGATGATAAAACCCCTTGGTGCTGGGCAAGCTGGATATGCTTATGTTGTTGCTCAAGTATTTTGCATCAGCATTGTTTCTGGAAATCCCAATTTGCAGTATCCAAGTTAACACAATACGGACAGTGTGTCCTTCACATAATTGTCAGTAGATGGCAGTGAATATACTTTTTAAACATCTTCAATCTGTTTTTTGTTGTTAATGTTTATAGCACTTTTATAAATTACACATTCCAAAACACAAGGTTGTGCCATGGACAAGAAGTGCTGAACAGATTGTACAGCATTTAAATCCGCTTGGACAGTCTGGGGAGAGTCCAGCAGTATACAGTGTCGAATACCAGTTGCAGTACAAGTGTAGAAGCGATATTAGCATGTAATAGGTAATGCTAGAAGTGCTTAATAATGCTACTAGTGCATGGAAGGGTGGGAGACACAACACGGAGACAGTGAAAAACTGAAAAGACAATTGAATGCAGAAGGGGAGATGGAGATACAGAAGACTGAGAAAAGATCTCTCTGGAAACAATGTCCCTGAAAGTCAGAGACAAACAGCAAAGCCTCCAGGCAACTGTTTTTACCTGTGTAGTCAGGACTAATCCACATTTTAACCTGTAACCAAATCATGTTACAACCTTGATCTTCAGAAAGTTTAGTAACAGTTCCAGGACTAGCATGTTCTTAAAATGATGCCTGTGTAAATGGGTTCTAACACTGTTTCCTTTCCACATCACAGGTGTTTAAAAGCTGTACATGAGACAACTCTTAATTATGGTTCTCTAGATACATAATTTTAGGCCAAATGGCCTGCAACATACATCATGTGCTCAGAAAGTGCCTCCTAGACATCTCACTTGGGAGCAGCAGTCACTAGGTTTGAATAACACTAGGAATGCTGCAGCATGTTACAGCCTTCACCTCTCAATTCCTTTTTCACTTAAGAACTGAATTGTCCACATCTTGAGTGACCTGGGCTGAATGTTGAAGGGGAAGAACAACTATGGGAATGCACGCAATTGTGCACTCTCTCCAATCTGCACTATAGACAAACTGTTCTCTGCAAAAAAAGCAAAGGTAGTTTGGTTCCGAAGAGGGAGGAGGAAGAGGTTTGGTGCCCACACCATGGACAGTGAGGTGTGCGAGAACTATCAGCTTCTAAGGACAGCAGAGAGGGAGAGAGCTTCTGGAGTATCCTCATGAGCCCTCACGAGTGCTTGCAAGAATGATCCACTCACTCCCTTGGATTACCATCTCATCTAGAAGGGATGGAAAGAAGTTTCCTTGGCTGAAGTACAGGGTGAAGGGTCATTTATGATTTTCTTGTGGTGGCACTGTTGGCAGAGCTGCTGAAGCTAAGAACACATATCTGAGGGGCAGTATGAAGGGGGTGGAGATTTGCACTGCCATGTACCAGCCCTGGAGATGGACAAGGAACAGATAAGGGCCATCAGGAGTAGGAAACTCTAATTATGAGCTAGGAACTCTAATTATGAACCCCAGATGCCAGTGACTGAAAAAGGGGATGAGCCAGAATTTTGCAGGGGAGGGGAGATTAATCTGTGATTTTTCCCATTTTATTTATTTAAACAAATGATCATCGTAGTCAACCACCCTTTTTACATTCCGAAGGCTCTCTTCGTAGCCAAGAGGGCTACCTGGGTAGCATGCACAAGTTTACACTGATACTTAATAGAACTATTGAGAACTTCTCAGGCCAGATGTTTTTTGAGACACAAACACACAGTGAGAACAAGTTTTGATGCACAAGAAATCATAATTTTCCCCTTATAGCTCAAGAACAGCGTTTTGTACTTCAGCAATTTACTTCAAACCTTCCATACCAAACAAGTATTCTCTGATCGCCTGTTAATAATAACAGGAAGTTTAAGACTACAGGGAGTCTTTGAAAATGATGAAGGAACATGAAGAAATTTTTTTTACACAAATAATTACACGTTATTAAGCACTGGAACTCACGGCTACAAGATATCTTTGAGACAAAACACTCAGTAAGATTCATAAAGGGACTGGACATTTATATGGATAACAAGAATATCCAGAGCTATAATAGTTAGTGCTATTATAAATTTTGGAAGAGATAGTAAACCTCATGCTTCATGGCTTAAGCCAGTCTCGATCTATTAAGGAGTGGGAAGTTTCTTGCACCTTCGTGTAAACCACTGGGCTTTGGCCATTCTTGGAGATAGGATACCAGACTAAATGTATCAAAGGACTGTTTCAGTATGGCAATTCCTATGTTCCTACATGTAAATTGTCTTTTAACCTTAACGATGGAGTATTTATTGTAGCTCCTTAATCATAAATGAAAAGCTAAATAAGATAACATACTTGGGAGAGTTGCACAATGTCACAAACTTGCACCAGCAGAAGCCCATCCACCTCGCCTCCACAAGCTCTATTTTTAGTATTGTTGATGCTGACACCTGATGACCTACTTATGTTACCTGAACCAGAGCAAACATTTCAGGACAGTTTGCACCCGACATGCATCAAGATTGGCCCTGAGAACATCAGTTGTTGAAAGAAAATTAAATAAGAGCTGAGATAAAGTCACCTAACAGAAAATTCACACTAAATCGATTTATATGCATTTCTGAAGTGTTGTCACTGTGCTACTACAGCCCTGCTCCAACAAAGTATGTAAGCACATGCCTACATTTAAGCATATGAATAGTCCCCTTGATTTTAATGTCATTGATCATATGCTTCAAGTTCTGAATGCTCTCAAGTCAGAATGGATTTGATTTAAATCAAATTTATTTAAATCATGATTTAAATCACTAGTCAGGAAGACTCGATTTAATCATGGATTTCTACATAAAAGTGCATTTTTGTTGGTTGTTATAACCTTAATACACACATTCTTCACAACTCAGAGATAGATGTAGGTTTCATTTTAGAAGGTACACACTATACATTTTTAAAGTGATTTATTTTGAAAACTTTTCAGATTAGTTTTACAGCTATATCAGAAAATGAATGATTGTTTGGTTATTTCATTTACCAAAGATAACTGAAGCAGATATTTATGAAGTCACTGGGAGGTGAACTATCTCCAATCAAGAGGCTAATCATTAATACACCTCTACCCCGATACAATGCTGTCCTCGGGAGCCAAAAAATCTTATTGCGTTATAGGTGAAACCGCGTTATATCGAACTTGCTTTGATCCGCCGGAGTGCGCAGCCCAGCCACCCCGGAGCGTTGCTTTACGGTGTTATATCCGAATTCGTGTTATATCGGGTTGCGTTATATCGGGGTAGAGGTGTATTTGGAGAATTTTCTTGCCATGCTGTGTTAGGAGGAGAACATCACCAGACAGACATTTAAATTGTTTTATTTAACTAAAACAACAACGTTATGTATTCTGGATTTTTTTCTTCAACAGCAAACATATAATATTTTAACAAAAAAAGTTAAATGAAATATTAAAAAAAAAAATTAAATCGACTATGTCAGCCAGGTCAACGTGAGAAACTTAAAGTATTGGCTTCTGCAGCTAACTCAGTCGTCTTCACCTTCATTTTCCTGTTTGTTCATAATCTGGAAAAGAAAAACAAGCTTTCCTGCTTTTTCAGGTCCCAAACGATTTCTCAATTTGGAATGAATTAGTCCCAAGGAAGAAAATATTCTTTGTACACCAGCAGAAGAAGCTACTGCTGTTAAAAGTGAGATTATCACTTCAACAGTTTCTGAATCCAAGTGCTTAAGTGACTTCCATCACCAGTTCAATGGTGTGACTTTCTTTAAAACATCAGCAAACATGTATTTCTTGAATGGTTCACACTTAGCTCTGAAGTTTATTATAGTTGGCATTATGGAGGGATGACTGCTGCATGTCCATGTCATAGCCAACTCCTCTTCTTCAGCAGTTAAGGTTTGACTCTGGTACCTGGTAGTATTGAGAATATTTGCAAGAAAATGAGCTGGAGATAGTGCTTGTCCCATTTGTTTTTTTAATGCTTGTCATTTAACTCTGTTATTGCATATTTCTCTTTTTAACATCTCACTCAGTTCCTTCCAAATTTCAACTGCGTCAGCAATAAAACAGCTATTTCCCTGCATTTTGTTCAAGGCTACAGAAACAGGCTTCAGGGTACTCAGCATGTGTTCAACATTTCTCTTAAGCCCAATGCTGAGAACTTTGACTGTGACAGTGCCATCTATTTTTTCACAATTTTGTTCACAAACTGTCATCAGATTAGGCCAGTTTTTGATATAGTGCTCAAAACAGTCCACTACTGAGTTCCATATCATGTCTTGTGGGAGAATTCGTTGGTTTCTCCCACTTTTTCCAGAGCAGCTGCTGCAAAGTGTTTGTTAGGGAAGTATTCTGCAATTTCAACAGCATTATTTTTTATTTCTGGAACACTGAAGTCTTTGGCTAGGAGGTGCATTAAATGAGCACTGCAACCGTATATTATTAGCTTGGGACTCTCTTCTAAATAATTTCTTCTCATTAGATACATTTGCAGCGTTGTCTGTGACCAAGCTGCGTACTAGACATTAGAATTTTTTTTCAGTTTGTTATAGCTTTTACTGCTACTTCTTGTAAGTATTCTGCTGTGTGTGCATTTCCTGATGTATCAATTGTTTCTGTAAGGAAGACATTCCCTTCTTCTGTTGTCACACAAGCGAATACAACAGGATCATTGTGGACATTGCTCCACCCATCAAGACTCAAATTAACAATTTCACCCTCTAGACTTTTTGCACACTGCTCAATTTCTCTTTCATACCCTTTATCCAACAATTTGCTTGCAACATCTGCTCTGTTGAGTGGACTGTATCCTGGTCTTAATGACTGA